GCTTCTTTTGATGCAGCCCAGAGTACAGTTGGCCTTCTGGGCTGTCAGTGCACATTGCCGGCTCATGTCCAGCTTTTCATCCATCATTACCCACAAGTCCCTCTCGGCAGGGCTGCTGTCAATACCTTCATCCCCCAGCCTGTACTGATACTAGGGGTTACCCCGATCCAGGTGCAGGACCTTGCACTTGGCCTTGTTGAACCTCATGAGGTTATTATTACCTGTATTTGAATCTGAGTGTGATGATGCTTTATTTCGTTTTACTTGGTCTGACTTTTCCTTGAAAGAACTGATGTTAGTAGTTGAAATTCTAAGCATCAAACCCATTTATCATTTTAGAAATACTCATATATCTCTACCCAATCTCCCTAGATTTACCCAAGGGTGTTGGTCCTGCAAGTGTCGGGTTTTAATTATTTATTTGTTTCAACATCGAAAGATCATTCAGGTCCTTTAAAAAGACTTTCCTGAGCTTAATTTTGACTGTACTGGGCAGCTGAGTTCTTGGGTGCTATGGCTGGCCTGGCATGGTCTGGAAGCAGAGGAACTGGAAGTACCATCTGTGAAGAAACCAGTGCCTGTATTTATAGTCTGGGGGCCCCTGAAGGTGGTAGTATGTGTCCCTGGCAATGCTGGTAAGAGGAGAGATTTCATGATGGGGAGTTCTGAACTCTTGTAGGTTAAATTAAATGTTATGATATTCAGTCTGGATGCCAATATGCAGCCAGTACAGATTATGGACTAATAGTGACTTGAATCTCCATTATAGGCAGGCTTCTGCATTTTATGTGTCACTTTTCCAGCTTGACCTAAAGTTTCACTCCATTTTTTTAATCCAGGATTGCAAAGGCATGGTTTATGTTTGCAAAAGCATGGTTCATGATTACAATATCTGCATTCAGATAAGTGGCTGCAATTCCTTATCCAGGTGTAGGATGTGGAAAATGATCCTGCATACAGCTGCTATACCTATACGTCCAGCACAATCTGTATTCAGGTAGCACAAATATTCCCTTTGTTTATAAACTCAGGGTTTGTTTGATCTGATGGCAAAATGAAAAAAACACACTTCTTTTTACAGAAATAGGAAATCCACAATTTAAACCAGGTAAAAACCACACCAAGTTATTACCATTGTAATGAGGCAACTGGTGGTTCCAGAGCTCTTAATGCAATGGAAGACTACATGTATGTAGTTTCAGAAATGGAGTGATGTTTGATGGTATGCTTGTCCTGTGCTAGAAAAATGTAGAAGTAAAATTTTATTTATCCATATTTTTATGGAATTAAAAAAATGCACTTGTTGGTAGAAGTAGCCGGCTACATCAGCTGCAGCATGTATGGGTGCCCTGTCGATTCTAAGCGTTTACCTTATTGCAAGCATTTGTGTAGGTTACTATGAATAAACATAAATACCGATTTGTATGTGTTGCCCTTCCACTGACACAGAGATATATTACCTTACTTTGGAAGTCTATACACCCTTCTACTTTGCATAGATGGCTAAAGGAGATGCAAGGCACCCTTCTTTGGAGAGGCAATTTAGAGGAGAGAAAAAGGTCTTTGTGCAATTTCACAGTGTAGTCTGGATGGAAGTAGGGCAGAATTTGGTCTCCTAAGTTTTATTCTCTGCACTGTGAGGCATTGTGCATTCCTTTCTTTACAAAATAAACCAAAAAAAGCCCTCTCTGTTTTTACTGTTAAACTTTTATTTTTTGTAATGGGCAAAAATATATTTTTAACTTGCTTCTTTAGCCCTGCTTTTACTTTTTCATTGTTTGTTCTCTAGACCTCACTATTTCTGCACCCTCTCCTTTCTCCTTCTTTTAATGAGAGATACTCCCAAAGAAGTATAGCTTGACTTTTTTATTCTAATCTCATTTCTATTTCAGTTAACGTTGACTTGGAGAATATGCCTTGTAAATAGGAATACCAACTCACATACGGAATATAATCCTCAATTTCTAGGCACTGATTGTTTTCACAGCATCCTTAAAGGGTAAGCTGTCTTACTATCCAAATATCATGGCTGGGAAACTGAGGCTAACAAAGGCTGTATGATTTACATGAAGCCACAGAGGGAATAAATGTTGGGTTTAGAATTCCTGGCTTCTGTTCGTGTGTTTGGACACGCAATGTCTCTCAAAGAAATACTTGATTCCTCCTAATATTACCTACTTTTCAGTGTCTGTTAAATGTAGCCATTCGAGAAGTAGCTGGTACGCAATTCTCTCTCTGTCTGTCCTATTGAAACTAATGGATGCCTGCAGGCAGGCATAAGGTATCGTTACCTTTGACAGCCAGTATGTTTTATGTTTTAAATTATGTGTTAGGCAGAATTTTTGGATACTAATTTGATATAATGAGATGCGCTTCTAATATCAACCCTAGTACGGGAAGGCCTTGCAGCCAGCCTACTCCTTATTTAAAATTATTCCATTTCAGATGTCCTAATGAGTGCTGTGAGTTGTGTAATTCTTTCATAATTTTCCCACATTCCCAGAAGGGAACTAGGGGCTGGAGTTTTTTTCTGGTTTTGTTTTGGTTTATTTCAAATTAGAGTGAGTGCAGAATAAAGATCTAGGGGAAGAGGTTTGTGAAACACTTGCTGTTGTGGGAATGGCAATTAAGAAAAAAAATATTATCATCTACAAATGTTAGTGTTAAAGCAAGTCTCCATGCCTCCCCTGTTTGCCATTATCTTATAAATATCTTGACTCTGACTTTACAGTGCTGTTTATAGAATTTAATAAAGCAAATGTAATAATGCTGCCTGTGCTTTAATGCACAATCTCAATTGAGTTGACCAGAAGATAAATAGGAACAGGAATGATAGTGCGTTCCTACAGATTGTTTTTAATAAGCATGTTATTTAGTTGATCAGCCCGGTGCAGTAATGCCTCCTATCCTGCTCTACCAGACAAATTTATTAATGCTTCC